CACTGCCAAGTCGATAAAAGCCTGGTTTTTCAGAGAAGAAGATCCAAGTGATGCCCTGGCCCGCCCGATCGCCTGATTTGAATCCAATTGAGAATCTTTGGGCTTGGATGGACCGCCAATTAATGCGCACCAAGCTGACGTTGGTTGAGCACTTAAAGCAAGCAATAGAAGAGACAAGGAAGAGTATTCCAAAAGAGTTCTGCATGAAATTGATTGAGTCTATGCCTTGGAGAGTTCTTTCATGTATAAAAGCCCGCGGTGGTCATTTTAAATATTGAAATTTGAATTTTTTTTCATTTTTTTTTATTTTTTTTATAATTTTTTGCGATTTATTTATACTTAAATTATAAAACATGTATATATATATATATATATATATATATATATATATATATATATATATATATATATATATATATATATACAATTGTGCTCAAAAGTTTAGCACGCAGCAGAAACAATGAAATTATTTTTCTTTAGAACGTAAAAAAATTTTAATTATTTTAAACACAATTTTTTTTTTAGGTTATTTAGAACATATTAAAAGAAAAATAATATGTTAATAATAAAAAAAAGCTGCTCATAAGTTTAGCACGCTTGGGTTTGAAGTTGTTTTTAGGTCGAACCTTAATATGGAATGTGACCATTTTTTATGCATAATGAACATCTTCTTCTTATAGAATCGAAAAGTTTACGACAATATTCAACTTTCAAGTCATTTAACAACTTATTTAAATTTTCTTTCAGATTTTCAGCTGACATTACTGGTTCTTTGGTAAGTTTTCGGTTTAACACAGTCCAAACATTTTCAATTGGATTCAGATCAGGTGATCTAGCTGGCCACTGAGGTACTTTGATATTGTTTTGCTAAAAACCATTCTGCTAAAGATTTTGTTTTATGGCATGGAGTATTGTCTTGTTGAAACATCCACTATGGCTCGTTACCAAAAAAAATATCCTATGTAGGCATTTAGTTTTTAAGGATGTAGATGTATCTATGTTGGTCCATTCGACCACTGTATAATGTCTGTAGACCTGGGCCATCATATGTGATGCAGCCCCAAATACCAACTGCACCTCAGCGACTATTATACTTTTCATTGTGGTACCTATGGACAAGTACTTTGTTTTTACGATTTAAAATAGTGTAGTTAGATTTATCACTAAAACCAATTTATCTTAATTCATAATTATTTTTAAAATCGCTTTTCAAAATTTAACTTGTTTTAAATGGTCTGTTGGTTTTAATAATGGTTTTCTGGCAGCAACTTAGCACCACAGCTTACGGTCTATTAGTCTTCTATTAACTGTTCGCCTGGATACTTGATTTTTAAGTCCCAGGTTTTTTTCTTGTGCAATCTGTTTCGCTGAGTATTTTGGATTTTTTCTCGCAATTCTATAAATAGAACTATCATCAGTGTTATTTGTCACTTGGTCGCCCACAATGCTTTTTGTCACCAGTACTACCAGTTTCATTAAACTTAGCAATAGTAAATAATAAATTCGAGATATTTGAATGTTAGAGTGACCTCCCATATTAAGGCCAATAATATGCAGTTTGATTTCTTTACTTATAGTTTTTCTTCCCATGGGAAATTACAAATTTCTATTATTATTATAATCTAAAATTAAGCAAAAAGATAAATTAATTTAAAACAAACTTTTAAAATACTAAATATTACTTTAAATATATTTTTGTAATATTTCATTTAAAAGAAGAATTTAATTTTATTATGATGCAATTTTTACCGCGATAAATTTATAAAAAATCTCCTTAAAAACTTCAAGAAAAGCTAGCGAGCTAAACTTATGAGCAGCTTTTTTTTAAAGCTTAAATACCTCCTAATGTATGTACTTAAAAAAATGGATGTGTCTAAGCAAACTTTTTTAATTTTTTATCTTTTTTTATCTGGTTACGTCTCGTTATATGATAAATAGAAGAAAACTTTTTTTTAAAGTTTCACTAACTGAAAAATTAACATATATAGAAAAAAAAAAAACTTAATTCTGCTGCGTGCTAAATTTTTGAGCATTATTATATATATATATATATATATATATATATATATATATATATATATATATATATATATATATATATATATATATATATATATATATCTGTGTGTGTTTGTGTGTGTTTGTGAGAAAAGAATTTATTTTTAATTTTGATGTTGCACTAAAATAGTTTAAGTTCCATTCCTTTCAGGGCTGTTAGAGGAAAGTAGTTAATGGAAATTATTTTTGGTCCTTATCGGTAATAAAGAATATGGCTTATAAGAAAGGAAAAAATATTTACTATGATTTGATCCCTCTTTCTATAAAATAGCAAAAGCATTTCTTTGAACCTTTATTGCACAATTGTTGTTTATGTAATTTATCTCTCTTATTGTATTTTTTATATTTCGTTTAGGCATATCAAGAACTTTCGTCCGAGGTTACACGATTACGTATAATCATTGCTAATCTTACAGCTAAATTGATTTCTAATAATCTAACTAATAACGAAACGATAAACTTCGCGAACTGAAAAAATTTTGAACTAAAATGTACTAATGAAATCAAAATGTGCAATAATCAATTGGTTATCATCAATTAAAAGAATTAACACCCTTCGGAAAGTTTTTCTTATTCAAAGTTAACACCCCTTTAAATTTTTTTTTTCTCTTAAATCGTTAACACCCCTTCATAAGTTTTCCACTTAAGAATGTTTTCGGATAAGTAAAAGGTGAAAGTTAATGTTTAGAAATAGACTTTTTTTTAAATTGAAAAAAGAATTACGATATATAGCGAAAGTCCCATGGGAGGTAGTTTTCATTTTAGTGTAAACAAGCCATTAAGATATTTTCACGGTAAATTATAACGTAACTATTGTTAAAGACTCTTTAAAAATTCTTTAAGTTTTCTTAAGAAAGCTGCTGTTTATCAATCACCTGCTGTGTTTTTAACCTTTTGCAATCAAATGAATTTAATTTAAATTTGTGTCCATAACGACTAGGTTTTTATGCTCATAAATAACCAAATAAATATCCTTGAAACAAAACAGAAAGTTCCAGTTTTTAATTTAAATATTTATCGGAGGATACAACTTTACATTTTTTATTAAATTTTTCAAAATATGATGATTTTTGCATCTTTTTTTTTTTTTTTTAACTTAGTTTAAAAATCGTAATGATCAAAATCGAAAAGATTCATAGTTTGATCATGATCAAAAAGGATTCATAATTTTGTATGATATTATGTTTAAAAAAATTTATTTTTTATATTATTATAACTGTTGTTTTTTGTTGTTGTTTTTGCTTTTATGTTTATCAAGTCATAATTGAACTTAAAGTTTAAATAATTCTGTTCATATGCTCACTTATTTGTTTTCTTACTATATATATAAATTTAAGCAAAACAATTCCTATTTTTGTTCACGATCTAATGCAAGATGAGGTGTTTTCAATGATTTATTTATTAGTTTTTTATAATTAGAAAGCGTCATTCAAGTCTATGAAAGCAAAACTTTGTTATCCTGAAAAATGTTTTAGTAAAATACAGGTGTTTTGTGGGAAATCTTGTTAATAATAGATAAATTATTTTATTTTCACTTTTCTTTTTGTTTTCAATAATATTTCATACTATTACTTGTTTATTTGTAAATATTATTATATATATTATTTATATTATGTTTGCAATTCATGTTTTTAATAGGATTTTATTTAAGTAAAAAAAGTTGGAAAGTTTTTAGAATACTTGCTGGAGTTCAACCCCCGTGGTAATATGAATCAAAATGTTCAACCCTTTGGTATTGGTATTACAAAAACGCAACTCCTTCGTTTTACCTAGGAGGTCTTAAAATATTGTCATGAACGAAATTTATTTTAACACTTTTAAAACTTAACCTTTCAATATAATTTTCAATGCATTAGGAGAAATGGGGGTGGGTATTTGATTTTGTGAAATGTTAAAAGTAAGCACGTGTAAAGGTATGTTTACAGTGTGAACTCTAAAAAAATATTTTTTAATTTATTTGTATGAACTTGAAAAACCTTTTAAATGCTCTTTCATTGAGATATTAATTAACATTAACAGTAAAAAAATAATAACCTATTTTTTTCATTGCTTTCCTTGTTGTCATAACCTTTTGCTTTAGGATTTTCCATAAAATATTTAAAAAAATGTTCGAGATATGTTCACACTAAATTGCAATTATTTGAAGGAATTATTTAAATCGAAGAAATTATTTAAATGTTTTATAAAAACTTTCAAAAAATTTTAAAATTAAATAACACATAGTTTTATTTAATTTTACAACTGCGGTTTAAGTAATTTTTAATTTAGCAAAAATGGTTGTCGTTTAAAAAAACATTTTATTGTTTCGTGTGAGCGAATATAAACTATAAATTAATTCAATTAATTGTCTTGTTTTGTCCATTAATATAAGTTCAATTAATGCACAAAACAAATTTGTTTTTTATTTAGTTTAAAATTATTTCTTTTCTAGTGTTGACTGTCAATAATTGACAATCAATATTAAAAACACTTACTTAAGTCTTTCAGGGTATAAATATATTTTTTAGGGTTATTTTTTATAAAGAAATAAATCGTTTTATGAAAAGTTAATTATTTTCCTTTATGAAAAAAATTTTATTATTTTAAATAATTTATTGGTTTGCTACGCTTATGATATCAATCAGTAAAATATAAGTTTCATTTGTTATTTAATAGACATTTTTTTATTTTTTAAAAGTAACTTACTATCCCTCAATTGTATAGAATAAATAAAAAGTATATTATTAAACAAGTTAATAAAAAAAAAAGTTGAAAAAAAAACACTAAGGATAGACGGATCGTTTTTTATTAATATAAGAAAGTGTGTAAGGTAAAAAAGTGTCCCAAAGTAAAATATTTTAGGAAATTATTAAAAAAGATAAACTTTGTTATTCTAAATTATTATAAATTTTGAAAACAATTAGTAATCACTCTCAACAATAAAATTAATAACCACCTTCATTTTCTCATCTCATTTCTTTTAATCAAATTCGTAATTATAAAAAACTTGCTAATTATTTCATTCTCTTTTTTAAATGTATATTTGTGGTAAATTTTTGATATTTAAATTTTTTATATTGCACTGAAAACTTAAATAAAAAATTTTCTTAAAATTCAATAGTGCTTCGTTAGCGCAAACGACGTCATTATTCATCATGACTTCATTTTAACAAATAGTCGCGAAGATTAGTGTGTATACAGCCAACTTGTGTGTTAACACCGAGATTTTTGAGGGAAAATATTTAAAAAAATAATAGTAGTAGTATTAATAAATGTATATCTTTTTCTTAGTTGTAATTATTATTTTAGTTAGTAGTTAATAAGTTTATATCCATCTTTGGGCATGCAACTTTGATTTATTCTGCGTATTGGAAAGTGATTTTTGTGTATTTTTGATTACGGAGAAATCAAAGGGGGGAAATGGGCTTTGATTAAAAATTAACTTATGCTAATTATTTTTTCCTTACTCGATAATAAATGACATTCTTCAAATACTTTTTATGCAACTTAACTTTTAAAAAACATAATGTATGTAAACTACAGTCAAAAAATTGTTACACCTAATAAGGCTTCGTTGTTATTTGGACAGGTGCGGCTTATTATTCACTTACATAATACTTTTTCAATTTCAAACAAACTATTTTTTTTAGTACTAAATGTTTAATTGGAATACGCAAGCACTTAAATGATTTATTTTTACCTCGGTGTTCAACTATGTTACATATTACAGAACAAAAATTATTATTATTATTATTATTTTTTTTTTTTTTTGATATTTAGAAAAGGATCAATAATAACGACAAGGTAAATCCTCCAGGAATGAGGAGGAGGATAATTCAAAAAGGAGGGGAAAGAAGTATTGTAAAAATATATATGTGAATGTTATAGTTAAAAAATGGATGCTTTAAAAGATTTTTACAAATTTGTGCATACGCCTTTTCCGCCCTTTAAATGTTAAAATTTAATTTAAATGTCGATATTTTTAAAACTATTAAAGAATAACGGTCTTCAAATTCCTTGAAATTTAAATCTTTTGAATCTTTGATGAATTAATTCTAAAAATGTCAAGAACTTTTGACTATAACATATTATAATTTGTTATATTATAGTATATGTATATATATATATATATATATATATATATATATATATATATATATATATATATATATATATATATATATATATATATATATATACATATATATATATATATATATATATATATATATATATATATATATATATATATATATATATATATATATATATATATATATATATATATATATATATATATATATATTTCTATTTATTTTAGACCTTAATTCTTTGCTTGTAACTTTGGGTTTCTACAAATTTAAATTAGTAACAAATAAAAAATAATAATAATAGGAGTAATAAATAACAAAGTTAAGAGGTAACTGTTAAAGTTCTTGAGGAAAAATAGTTAAACTAGTTGAAAAGTGAATATAAAAAGCATATAGTTTACGATTACATTTAAAGTTAGAGTTACATCTAAACATTAGAAATTTGTTTAGTTAAAATTTTTTCACAACTCGTCATTAGTCGCCATTAAATATATTTTGTCACGATTACGTCGTTTCAGCTATTTGTATATCTTTTTTTAAGAAATATGTTAAGGTAATAAAAATTGATTTTTATTAAACTTTACTGGCTGGTTTCTTAATCTTGATTAATTTTTTTTTGCCTAAATCTATCATTTATTATTGGTTAGTATGACCATTAATAACATACAATTAAAAAAAAAAAAAAAAAGCAAAATTATCAAATTTAACAGTTTGAGAATTAGTTTGCTTATTAATAGCTCTTAATTAAAATTAAATTTTTAAAGTACTTTTCAAATTATGATCATTTAATTGTGGAAAAAGAAATGGACCCGATGACTGGGTCAACTGATTATGTCTTAACAATATTTTATAAATATCTGTAATACACAAAAGTATACAAAATAATAGTCTTACGAACTCATAGGAGAAAATTTTTCCTTTTTTTTTTTAAAAAAAAAAAAAAAAACGGCTCATTATACTTTCATGTTTGCGATCAAACGTTTGGTTTGATCTAGTTAAACACATATTTGTTTCCTTACTTTGTGCCAACAAAACGCGCCGCATTTTCACGCCGCATTTTGTTTACACCAGGAAAAATTTAAACAAATTTTTTCTACTAAATTTAAAAGTTTTTTTTAGGTAAAATAACAATACGAGTAAGTTTAAATGTTATTTTGTAAATAATAACCACCAAAATATCTTTTAAAAAAGTTAAGTTTTGATTTGAGAAGGAAAAATATAATTTAACTGTATTAAACAGGGAATGAAAACGTCGTTTGAAACTAAATAACAAGCTTTTCAATTGGTTCATTGAAATTGGCAGGTGGGTTCACAAAGGATCGTCACAAAATTTTAGGGTGCTATAATAGACGCGGCAAAATAAAAGAAAAACAAAGAAAAAGAAATTCAGCTGCAACTATTTCTTGATTATTATAGACTCTCTTGTGATGGGAGCTTTTACTTTTTGTGAGTGTTTTATATGGTGAAATATAATTTTAGATTTATCTTTTAACTATTTTATACCTGATTGTGTTACTTTTGCTCTTTGCACGATTGTTTAGTTAATTACTGTGCACTTACTCAAGAGCTTTAATAATATGAAGTTTACATAAGTAATATGTATGAATACATAATACTTAAATAAATAATACTTAGATTGTACAGAGTTTTTAAACGGTTATTGTTTAATGCATACATTTCTGCTTGTTACAGTAAAAGTTGTATTGAAGAACATGACACAATGTTGTCAGAGATCATTTTGATTATTATTTTCATGTTGCATATATTGAATCTATAAAAGATTATCATTACACATAAATGTGATAGCGATTTTTTTTATATATACTTCTTCAAATATATCAGTATATCAAATATATATTTAAGACTATACTAAGTTTTTATTTTATTTCTAGTTAACTAAGTTCACAATGTCGGTAGCGACAATTCGAAACAATCACTCCAATCTTTCAAGTCCAATTAAACCACCTATTAAACAAGACCCTGAATACTTGGCTAGCAAAAAACCTAAAAAAGAGGACATATGTAGCCAAACCGTTAAAACTAATTTAAACTCTACCAACCAATCAACAGAAAACTCTATTAACATTGACAATGGAAAAACACCATGCCAAACAAGCATTAACATTCCTGCATCTGAACTAAACAATATGTCGACTAACTGCTTAAATCAATCTCACAACTATAATGGTAACTTGAGCGATACAAACGGTCTGTCAAACCACTTTTCAGCCTACAATAACAACAGTAACATCAATTCTCACAATGGCTCACTTGATTCAGTTGGTCCACTGCCGAACGAAATATTTGAGCTGCTAAATGAATTTTGGCGACCAAATGAACTTGTCGCACCGGATACACATTTACTAAATGGTAAATTTTCAAGACGAAGTCCCGATGCTTCCCTTGAAGAAAATGGAGAAGACGAAAAAGGTTGTTTTTTTTATTTTTTTCAAGTTAAATGCTATTTAAGAAATATTTTATATATTTGTAATCAAAAAATTTATTTAAAACTTCAGTTTACTTTTATAAAATTGTGTTGTTTGCACTTAAGCGTTATTTTTTAATATTAATAGTAATTGCGAGTATTATCTGACGCAATCGGACACATATCTGCTGTGAATTTAATAATAAAAAGATTGGAAAAACAATAAAAAACAATCAGATGTACTATTTTTTTTAAAGTGCATTCTATTAACGTAAAAACCTTTACTTATTGTTAATATTCTTATGTTGTATTTTTTTAGAAGATGATTTATCGTCTTTAGCAGATAATGAAATTGGTGCCGACAAAAATACACAAAAACGTCGTTATAGCCGACTGTCTGACGGTTATGAAAGACTTAAGTTAGTTTTACCTTCAGTGAAGGACAAACGAAGAGTCTCTAAGGTACTTGTTCTAAATACCAATAAAAAAAATTTGAAATATTAATTATTACATTAACAATTATTTTTGCAACTTTCAATAGAGTGAAAATGAATAATTTTTTTCTGCTTGAATTAAACTTATCTTTATATTTAATGTTCAACATATTGTCGTTTATTTTGGGACCTTGCATAAATGATTGAAGTTGTTTGCAATTTAGGCTCGTATACTTGATGAAGCTATTAATTACATTCAAAGACTAGAAAGTGTAACTAATGTTCTAAAAAGAGAACACGGTGAAATATTTTTATTTTTGAACTTTTTATTGAGCAAACATTACGAAGTAAATTTACACGCACACATACTTACACACATACATATATACATACGTGTATACATACATACATACATACATACATACATACATACATACATACATACATACATACATACACAAACATACACACACACACACACACACACACACACACAGACACATACAAACACACACACACACACACACACATATATATATGTATGTATATATATATATATACATATATATATATATATATATATATATATATATATATATATATATATATATATATATATATATATATATATATATATATATATATATATATTATATATATATATATATATATATATATATATATATATATATATGTATATATATATATATATATATATATATATATATATATATATATATATATATATATATATATATATATATATATATATTCTACAAAATAAAGTGCTCAATGTTCTTAAAAGAACAGTTTAATTAAAGTTAATTTGTTGAATTAAAATAATATTAAAATTGAATCTTTAGAAAAACGTTTAAACATGATGAATGGCTCAAACGGCTTTTTTCCTGATTATTCAGTGCAGCCTTATGTGAGGTTTGTAAAGTTTTTATCATATCGGTATTATTATATACAGTAAAAAAATGCTGATTCAAAATTTTTAAGTTTAGCTTTACCGAAAAAACAAAAAAAACCTATATCTGTAAAAATTAGGCTAAAAATTATATTATGTTGAAAATATTTTGTTATTTATACGCAAGCTTAATGTTTGGAACCGCTAATCTAAGCAGAGAATAAAAAAAAGTTTTATATAAGTTTTCAAGGTATTTATTATTATAGTAAAGTTAGTTTCCGAAATGTAAAAGATTATGGTTTCAAGGAACGACTCATTTTAAAGATCATGGAATTAATTTTTTAAAGTTTTAATTAATTATTTAAAGTTTTTGTTTTTAAATATTTTCCATTAATACTAAATACACAATTAATTTAAATAAAAATTGTTTTAAAATAAATTGAACAATGTAATTCAAAAACATTAAATACCACTATTTTTAAGTCCAAGTTTGTAACTAAAACTTTCAAAACCAACTTTCTAATGCATGTATTGCTTCCTATATACTACTATGCGTTTGTACTATGTACTGCTATGCGTTCTTTAACTTGTGCTTCATATTATAAAAATTAAAATTTTGCTGCAAAGAAATTTTTAGATTTTTTTGTGAATATTGTAAGTAACCGATCTTTTAAAATAAATGAATAATAATTATTTAACTATTAAAATTAAATATAATTTGTATTGGCTGCAGTTTATTGTGAGTTTTAGGCAACTGGTATTAATCAATAGAGCTGAAATTATAATTGGGCAACTAGCATCTATTAATCGGTTTCAAAATAAAGTTATAATAAGTATATAAATTGCATTTTCGTCAAACAATTTATTGGTATTTTGCATGTAAGAAGATTTAACTTTTTAGTTGGCATTGACTAGCACAAAAGCGTGTGTTGTGCAAACAATTTTCTTTTTAAACCTGTTTAGATTTAGAACGCAGTTTTAAAAAGAAAATCCAAAATGTTGTTTCTACCCGCATCTGCAGAAATTACTTACTGGCAATCATAAAACATCACCTGTGAACAATGTGGGATGTCAATAAATAATTCAACTAAAAAAACAGGAAAAAAAAAACAAAATAAAAAGATCTCATAACCTCCACACGCAAAATTTTAATAAATCAGAACATTAATATAAATATATTGTTAAATTTCATTTAAATACATTATTTTTTCTGGATTTCTTTGAAACCTTTTCTTTCCATTTCTTCTTTTTTTTTTTTTTTTTTAATTTTCTAAAAATTATTTGTCAATTAATTATTAAATAACCAGTGCCATATTTTTTCATTCTCCTTTAATAGTATAATAGAAAACATTAAAAAGGAATGTTCACTGCAGGGAGAATATACTCTTTGTCTAAAAATAAAATTTGAAATGACTCACCTATTGGAAGCAATATTAGCAATAGCAAATATGAAACGATAAAAGTATTAAATTAAAAGTCCAAAAAAATTTATTAAAAAACTTAAACTTAAAGTTTAAAAAATGTGTTTCTAAATTCTTAAAATTTTTCGCTTAAAAAAAAAGCTAACAAATATTTCACTGTTGTTTTAATAAAAAATTTTCTATAAAAAATTTTATACTTTAACAAATTTATTCTTGTAGGTCGCTTTTTCAAAAACAAATGTATCCATCTGCAATAAACCAAACAAAAATGAACCATTACCCAAAACTTAATGTTGCAACAAACGCGGCTCCAAAATCACCACGTTTAAAGCAGTATTGCACCCAAAATTACCCGCCTGCAACATTAAACAACATTAATGTTCCAACAAATATGTCAGCTGATTATAGCTACAACAACATGACTAGCTATGTAAACCATGCTTCAAACTCATTGTACCAAACGAATGATCCAACTCAGCTCATGAATGGAGATTCTTCTTCGCCTATCACAAACAACTCTCCTTTTAGCACTTGCTCATTAAGCCCCGGAAATACCCCTACAACGTTTCAAAACGGTAGCAACGCTGTAAATAACTCCTGGCCGTACCAGGCTGGAACAGGAAGCTATGAAACGAATTCTTCTCAACTAAATAGCTATAATGCAAACAGAGTTTGTAATGGTGACTTTGGAACAAATGGCGCTTATTCAAGTTTAACGAACCACATGTGGGGAAGCATGGGTCTACCAGAAGCTTCAAATCAAATTGTTCCGCATTCAGATCATTCAATGAAAGTTGGTTAAGGTTCCTAATATGAAATCAGATCTTTATCTGAAAGATAATGTTACTCTTAAAAATATCTACAATAGATAACGATTTGATATCGGCAGATTATTTGTTCAAACACAATATTTTTATGAAATACAGAGCATATTTTTAAGACAAAGTTTATAACAAAATATGTTGTACTTTTGGCTAGTTCCATAATGAATGCTAAAAAAAATGTGTTTCATATCGAAATACACTTAAAAGCTTTATTAAAGATCATTTTTTCAAAAAGGTTCTCCGTTCAAATACTTAGCAAACTTTTTGCAATTCAATTGATTTAAAATTGAAATTAATGGTAGAACGAACGTAAAGAAATTGTATATTCAGCAAGCTTATTTAGTGCGTCTTTAATTGAAAAAAGACGACAATACTAATATTTTTTTTTAAAGATTTAATTATTTATTTATTATTTATAACTAGTGATCATTGTTAACAAACATTATTGTAAATATCTAAATGAAATAAATATACGCATGTAAATAACGATGTACTAACGGGTACTTTAGTAAAACACATAAGACTTTTTGTTCTACGTTTTGGAGAAAAAATTCTTAAGTTCCATGGAACCAAAATAAGGTTTGACTAATAGTGGTTCACTCTCACTTTGCATCCAAAATTACTTAAAAAATAAAATTATTAGAAAATTTTTTTTAACATGATGATATAGGTATTTATTATAAACTGAAAAATTTGTTGTTTATACTATTTATGCTAACTTTTTAATTATGTTATTATTTAGTTATATTTATATGCATGCTTTTAAAACATTTTTATTTTTTTGTTTAAAATAATACAATTGTGCAACCGTTTTTTGAACAATTGTTAGAAAAAAGAGTTCTTATTATTTATTATATGTCATCGGTTTGTTAGAAGGCTAGCGGAGAAACTAGCGGAAAAACAAAATGAAAAATACTCAGTTTTTATGTTGTGGTAAAGAACGAAGTTATCTTTTGAGATACTTCGCTCAACTAGCCTTTGTTTAAGAGGTTCAAGAACACCGCGGACTAAAAAAAAATGATTTTAAAATCGGTGTTGATTTTAAGATGGATGCTCTAGAAGCAAGAGTCTGCGTTCTTATAAATTTATATTATAGCATTTTGTTTTACTTGTATATTTTTATTTAGATCAAATCTTTGTTTCTATCATTTTCAAAAAAACTTTTGTTTTTATAATTTTAGTTCTAGCAAATCTTAATAGAAGTCTGTATTGTACTTCAAAGCATTCTTTAATAATCCTTCTTTGTCAAAGTCTTTTAAATATTTTAAGGACGCAACAAAACCTGAATGAAAAAAAAGCTTTTAAACAAATAATTCCAGTTTATAGTATCTTAATAAGACAAAAAAAAAAAAAAAAATTTAGCATATCTTAAAAAATGACTTTGTAAACTTTTCCAATATTGAAATGAAATAATGGAAAAGTATTGCTTTAAAAGTACTAATAATCTAAAACATAAGAAGTTACAATTTTTGATCGAACTCTAACAAATATTAGATAAAACTGAGCTTAAGCGTAACTCATATTCATTGAAAAATATACATTAAAACATCAAAAATATTTCTTTTCAAAGAAATTTAGTACTTAATAAAGATATCAATTAATGTAAAATTAAGTTGTATAATATATCTCTGAAAAATTGGTCCCTTATTTAAATACTGTTGATAACAGTAGTATATACCTCAGTGAAAAAATTGTTTTTTTATGTAATTCATATGAGGATTATTATTTTGTCTCACATGGTTTTAATATGATAAATCCCTCATGAGTAATAGGTGGAAAATACCACATATTTTATAGATCTTAAGTGTTACATATATTTTAATTCATATGGTATAAAAGTAGTCAATACCAGATAAATCAAAGTCCGAACGAAAGAAGCTTTAATTGTAGTTTTTAAAAATCTAATAAATAAATAGCATTTTAAAATTAATTATCAAAGCTTTCAAAGAGACTTATATTTACCTGGTATTTGCTACTTTATACAATTTGGGATTAAGTATAATTGATATTTTTTATCTTTTACATATGTAATGCTTTCCACCTACAGCTCTGTGAGATTTACCATAAACTATTACAACAAAATTCTCCAAAAATAAAAAAAAATGTTGAATAATAAATTTATTTCTGAAGAATTGCTATTAATAAATACATATTTATTTGTAATAAATACATTAGAAATATTTTGCTTTTTTGCTATTTACACGACATTTTTTATATCTTGAGTTTGTGAAGTAATTCGCCTTGACTCGTTTAATACCATAATTCAGAGAATCTTCTAGTGTTCTACTTAGAATCTTTTAGTGTTCTAAAACATTTTCTAAAAATAGAAAAATTTAATCTTTTTAACAATTTAAAATGACCAGTTTATATATGCACATGTATACAGGTATAGATACAGGAAAAATGTTAATTTAATACTTATGATGATGAGTTTAACGAAATTATACCTAAAACGTCCTGTTGTTACTTAATTAACTTCTCAGATGCCACAAGATTCCAACCTTAGTCATGTATTTTTCCAATCTCTTTGACTCTGTGTTAAGGTCTACAACTTTTGCCTGTCTCAATCCCTAACATAATTTTAACTTTTCAACTCGGTTTCAAGAAAATTCGAATCATTTACCTTCTCTTCTTGACTTATGTCTAGTTTTTGATCCTATTCAGTGCTCAGTTTCTCCACATTCACCCTTAGGTGATTCTGATCACAGTTTGATTTTTCTAAAATTATTATCTTCTCCATTATCAGAATCCCCCTATCATTTTAACACTTAAAACTACCTTAAATCTGACTGAGACTCTTTCCGTTATTTTCTTCGTGATGGGCCTTGGGTATAAATTTTTCGTTTTCCTGCGGACAAATGTGCTGCCTATGTAACTTATTGGATTCAGGCTGGCATGCAATCTTTTGTTACCTCTCATTTCAAGTCAATACTTACTCATATTCATGGTTTTCCTCTCATTGTGCAGCTGCAATTTTCAATCGCAATCATTACTTTCATATCTATCTCCAAAACAATTCTCCAGAAAACAAGCGTCTGTTTACTGTTGCTAGAAACCATTGTAAAAGGGTTTTGTCTAAGCCAAAGCTCTCTAATCTCAGGTCACAAAAACTCGTATTTCATCTCAAAATTTAGGCTCCAGAAAATCTTCAACAATGTCTATAATAAGAGAAAATCTGTTATTCATCCTCTCTTAAAGACTAAGCCGAATTATTTGCTAAAAACTTTTCATCAATCTGATCATTTGATTCCATTAATCACATCTTACCTGATATAGCCGATGAATAGGTTGATCCATTATTTGACATCTCGTATTACTCTAGCTTTTGATTCTCACATCTTTGGTGGTAAGAAGCCAACATTCTCTAATTGCTTGGAGGGGGCATTTGAGCTTGAAGAAGCCAACACTCAATTTTTTCAGCTAATTGTCTAGATCTTCCTATAATTCTGAATGGTAACCTACTCGATAAGTCTAATCTACCCTTCGTCTTTTAGAATAAAATCTTATTTACGATCTTTCTTGGAAACCATATATAAATCCATTGTAAAATTAGCATTATTTTTTCAGATAATTTCATGGAACTTTTTTATTGAGTAACATTCCTGTTGTAACTACTATAGATATAAAATTACTCCTTTTGTCGTTGTCGTTGCAAAGTACGTACCACGTACCCACGTACATAGATTAATCCGAACAACAATGTTTTTATTTTTGCCCTATACTTATATTTTATAATAAGATTTATAAAAATTACTTTTGAGGGTTTGTGATTGAATACTTAGACTAATTGATAAGCTATAAATATGATCAACTTCATATAACTGGTGCCTCTAATGCACATTATCGCTTAGCAGTTTGCTAATACCCCCTCTGCCCTAATGAAAAAAATTATTAAGACAGTTCTGCTACTACAGAAAGTATTGCTGTGAAGGCAAAAAAAAAAAAATTTCTTATTATTATTCTTTTTTGTTATTATTATTATTTTTTATTTTTTTATTATTATTATTTTTTATTTTCTTATTATTATTTTTTTTTGTTATTATTATTATTTTTTATTTTTTTATTATTATTATTTTTTATTTTCTTATTATTATTATTTTTTTTTTTTATTTTCTGATTATTTTTATTTTTTTTTATTTCCTTGTCATTATTATTATTTTTTATTTTCTTATTATTATTTTCTTGCTATAAATTTATACGGCCAGATTGAAAATATTGTGTTAAGGCGGATTTGAACCCTTTCAAAACGACACCGGTGACAACGCATTAAACCACTAATCTAATTTATGCATGTAATTGAAAAACAAACCATTTTAAAACTCTTATACCGAATACGGGTTCTCTATATAAGCGCAGGTATATTGCATTGCAATAAACCTGCCACTATATATAAAAATATACGTTATATACAAATGTGAAAAACGGTTTTTATGCTAAAGTTGTTTATAATATACTAATTGTCCATGAATTCCGACAAAATAAATGTGCAAGCACAGAAAATGTAATACCTCGGGATAAATAATTTATAAATATATTTATAGCTAAATTCTCATATACTTACTTAAAAATGGATTCGAATAATATTTTTCAACAAGGTTTTGAAAATATAATTTTTGACCCTTTTGAAGACAATTTAAAAAATATCACAAATATTTTTCAAAAAACTCAAAGAAATTTAATGAAAACACGGTATTTTGATCCTTATGAATTTAAGGGGAAAAAAGAATTAAATCCATTTTCTATATTACAAATAAATATTAGGAGCATAAACCAAAACTTTGACAAGTTTAAAGAATTCTTAAATATTATAAATTACACGTTTGACGTCATATCTCTTTCAGAGGCCTGGCATGAAAATACACTTGATTCTTATTTTATTTACGAACTGCCTAATTATAAATTAATTAGTCAACCGCGAGAAACTAATAAAAACGGAGGAGGAGTTGGTGTTTATGTTTTAAACAAATATTCATTTAAAATAAAAAATAAACTATGCTCGTCAAATCTTAATTATGAAAGTCTATTTATTGAAATAATAAATGACAAAGATAAAAACATTTTAGTTGGGTGCGTATATCGTCCACCGAGTGGAAAAATTAAATTGTTTGAAGAATTCATAAAAAATACAGTCTTAAAAATAAATAAAGAAAAAAAAAATTGTTATATTGCCGGCGACATAAATTTGAACGCTCTGACATGTAAAAATAATCCAAAAACAAAATCTTTTTTTGACATGCTTTTTAAATATAATACCTTACCAGTTATAAATAAACCAAGTAGGGTAACTAAAAGTTCGGCAACTGCAATCGATAATACCTTTATTAACAATTATATAGAAACGTCATTTGAGGCAGGTATTTTTAAAACTGATATTAGTGATCACTTCCCAATATACGTTAAAATAAATCCTTTCAAAGCCCCATCCAACGGGATCCCAAAGTTATAACTCTAAAAAAACGCAACCTATCAGAAGTTAATAGGAA